ACAAACTATTGATACATACTACAATATGGACAAATCTCAAAAACATCATCTGTGGAAGAATTCAGATGCCAAAAAACTATATATTGTAGGAGCATGGGGGAATTTTCTGGGGTGATGGAAATGTTCTGTATCTTGTTTGAGCTGATGGATACATGGTTGTATAAAATAATCAAAACTTGTCAAACCGAACCCTCGCAATTTATGCATTTATTGAATATAGATTATACCTAAACAAATAAAATAAAACTTTGTTTGATTCTGCTATAAAAGTCCCAAGTGGGAAATGCTTAGCTTTCAATGTTTCCATTAGAAAGAAGAAAGGCTAAAAGAAAATTAATGAGTTAAGTACTTAGTAAAAATTAGCACAATAAACCCAAGGAAAAGTAGAAGGAAATAATAAAGGTAAGAAAAGAAATCTGTGTAATGAAGTACAATAGAGACTCAACAAAGCCTAAAATTGGTCTTTTGAAAGGACTAATAAAATTTTGGAAAAAATAGGTCGAGTCATAATACTAGTTGATGTGAAACTTTGAGACAAACAAAAGAATGTTAAATTACTAGTTTTGAGGATACAAACCAGTAGACTAGTGGGTTTTATTGTATTTTTATAATCCTTTGGAGAAGGTTGATGATTTACAAATCATAAGGTCCCTAAGACTTAAGAGAACTCAGAAGAGGTAAAGGTCTTGTTTAAGTTTGAGCAATACACAGTCTGTATCTTGCCATCACTAGAATGCATTCCTAGTTAGTTGAAGCTCCTACTTTAATATTGTTGACATGCATATTGCTTATAAAGGATTTATTGTTAACTCTTTGGAGTACAATGCCTAAAATTGTGATTCCTGCTAATTCTTTTTATGTTTGTTATAGGAAATATATCATTCACTGTATGTTTCTAATAGGAAATTATATTTGAAAGTATTTATTGTAGGAATATACCAATTGTAATGGATGTAACAGCCCAGTAGAGATAAACTTTAATGTATAATTCCACTACTATGTAAGTGGCATGAATTCACTTGCTGGTCTTGGCTTTCTTCCTATAAACTTTTTTGAGAAAATAAACTTGTGATTCTAACAGCTTCAAAGCGATCCCTGACACAGAGCTTGTTCATTTGACACTCATTTTATTCTTTTATTCTTTTTGCTGAGGTGAGCAACAACTAATACTGTATCATGAATTCTCAAAGCACTATAAGTCAAACAGATTATTTCCTCTCAGGGATTTTCATAAAATACTTTCAGGACCAATATTTTCACCTTTAATTTAACCGGGCTGACTCAAAAGTGGCTTATAGTTTTATTTTATAATAGATTGTACCATAAAATGTACTTAATCATTCCCTTTTGAATAACATTTAGGTGTCTTAGTTTTTGTTGCAGTAAACAATGCTGGAATAAACATCTTTCTATGTGGGTCTTTGTGAACATGAGCAAATATTTCTTTATAAAACATTCCCAGATATGGATTTCTGGGCCAAAGATTGAGATATTTTAAATCTTGATAGACATAAACGGTCCTCTTTAAAGAATGTACCAGTTTAAATATTTGCGACATGTGGACCTAAAGAGTATTAAGTAAAATAAGTCAGACAGAGAAAGACAAATGCCATATGATTTCTCTCGTAAGTGGAATCTAAAAAACAAAATAAAAGAACAAAGAAAACAGAAACATTCATATAGAGAACAAACTGATGGTTGCCGGACGGGAGGGGAGTTGCAGGGCTGGATGAAAAAGATAAAAAGATTAAGTACAAATTGTCAGTTACAAAACAGTCATGGGGATGTAAAGTACAGCATAGGGAATATAGTCAATAACATTGTACTAACTATATATGGTGTCAGGGATTGTACTAGACTTACCGGGGGGATCACTTTGTAAGTTATATAAAAGTCTAATCACTATGTTGTACACCTGAAACTATTATATAATATTGAAAGTCAACTTAATTGAAAAATAATGTACCTGTTTATACTTCTTACGAACCATATATCCTCACCAACGCTGACTGCTATAAATCATGTTAATTTCTGATTTTAATGAGTGCAAATGAATCATATTGTTAGTTTTCCCTTTCCTATTGCTAGATAGGCTGAGCACTTCACAAATGTATATGGGGTATTCGTATTTCTTCTATATAGAGCTTATAGGCTATTCGGGAGATGGATTTTCTCTGCCGCCAAAAAGTAAATTAGACATATTGTTCAATAACGGTGCCTTATCCTTCAGAATGCAGTGTGATTACCCTGATGCCAAACGTTTGTAAATATTCCCTTAAATGCAACCATTAAGAGAAGTGTTTGTCTAAGTTCTTCCTGAATGGTGATATGACCAGAGTATAAAAGTACAATGGCCCAGCACAAAACTCATTTTCTCAATCAATAAGACCCTACCTTATAAGAAATTCACTGGCAGCAACACAGCCCTTCCCTGTTGTGGAGTCTGAAGCACAAGAAAATTCCATGGAGATGAGACGCCACACTTGCTCCTGCCTGATACCACTTCACTGCCACTTCTATCTTTGCCCAAATCAAACCACTAGCATTTGGTGTGTTCTTCCTGCTAGTCTTTAGCCACCTAAAGTGATGTAATATACATTTTGTCCCATTTCTATTCTATTTTTTGTCTTACTAATTTTACTAGGAATATTAATTTTTCACATGCCATATAAGTTTTAGTATTTTCTTGCAATCTACCATCTTTTAAATCTCTAATATCTTTGGCTCTAAGTGTTGAAATTTTATGTATCTGATTTGTCAACTTTTCCTTTATGCCTTTTGGATTTGTTTTGCCTTCCTCATCTAAATTATTAAAATAATCTCCTACATTTTCTTTGTTCATAATTTTGTCTCAATGAAATGAAATCTTAAATAAGATTTTAAATAAAAGACCTTTTATCCCCAACTGGCTAGCCATTTGGTCTAAAAACTAGTCTCTTTACTGACGTAAAGTGCTACAGATTGTATTATTAAAATTTTATATCTGGTTGTAGTTTGTTCCAATGATTGCTCTATTTCTGCTTTAACACTATACTTCTTTATATTGTGGCTTTATGTTCTAAAATGTTGTATGTCAACTCTCCCATCATAATTTTTTTTCCAAAAGTTTACCATTCTCGTGAATTTACTTTTCCAAATCTTTAATATCAGCTGGACAAATTCTTTAAAGTCTTATTGAAGTTTTTATTAAGATTGCGCTGAATTTATAGAAAAAAATGGGTCATCTGTACAATATTGAATATTCTCATCCAAGAATATTGGCTATTTTGCCCTTCAGCAAATGTTAGTTTTATTCATATGTATCTCACATATTCTTGTTAAATTTACATGTTTATATCTATTGTATTTTCTGATTTGTGTATTTGTGGGTTGTAAACTAATTACTAAATTATTTAATAAACTAATAATTTTTGCATGTTTATCTTGAACTCTTGTCACTTCACGGAACTCTTCTAGCAGTTTTTCGGTTTCTGGAATGTATTTTTAAGTAGACAATTTTATATCTTGTAAATAATGTTCTGTTGCTTCCATTCCCGATATTTATATCTCACTTGCTAAGCCCCATAGAACCATGTTGTAGAACTGAAGCAATAGCTGACATCCTTGACTCATACCAGACCTTAATGAAAATACAGAAACCAAACAAAAACGTGAATTCTGTCGCAATGCAATTGATGACTACTTCCCGTCCTCTGAATTTACCCTAGGTATGTCATTAACCTCTCCCATTTCAACCAACTGAAACTTTTTACCCCACTTGTGGCATTATGGATTCTACTGTGCTCCAATGTTTTATCATTAAAACTAATATTCTCATAGTTCGGTAAGTATATGTTTCCTTCTCTACATTACCAGTTTTTAAAATTATGACTATCAAATACATCTTCAAGGTACTTTTTTTTTCAGTCTGAAAAACATCCAAGTGTACACAAGAATGCATTCTTCTAATACATTACTAGATTTAATTTACTATTTTAGTAAAAGTTTTATAACTCTAGTGGGGGCAGCAGGGACATAATTTTGAATAAGTTAGGATGTCTTTTTCATCCCCTTTGGTTTCCTATTTTCGGGAACAATTTAAATATCAGAATTATCTATTCCTTGAATTTGGGCAGAATGTTTATAAGTTTGTAAAAATTCTTGCAGAGGTAATTTTTTAACCTGTTTCTTATCAATATCTTCTTAAGGGCATCTTCTTCATTTTTGGTAATTAAATTTTTAAAAAACATATTTCCAGAAAAGCATCCATTTCACTGGAAGCTTCAGCATATTGTTTTTCTAGAAATGAGATTTTATTTTTGTTTCGAGAGTGCAGCTATTTGCACTCTAATTAGAAGAAAAGTTCTTTTTCCTCTGCAAAAGCCAAACACACACATTATCTTTGTACGTTACAAAGAGTGAAATATTTGACTTTTCTAGGTCAGCCTGGAAATCATTTGGATCATGTCACAGCTAAACTGCTCTCATGCTCCCCATTTCTGTGAGACTAACAAGAGTTATACACAGCATTGTCTTACAAAAAGGGTAACTCTGGCTTTGCTGAGAACAAGCTGCAGTGGTGATAGGGTGGACGCAGAGAGTGGCAGGGTTATTACCTCTGGTGGCTTCAACTAGGATGGTAGCAGTGGAGGTGGTGAGAATTGGTCAGATTCTGAACATTGGGACCAGAGCGCCAGTAAGATTTACATATGCAATGTGTCTTCATCAGCGACACTGCATTACAGGCAGTTCTCAACCAGGTACGTCTTTTGCTGAGAATCACTGCACTGACTTTGTTCCATGAAAATAAAGCCCTCAGTTTTGTGGATTCCCATTTACACTGAACATAGTGCTTTGCAAACTTGTTGAATTTCATGTGGATGTTTGAAATAGATGAGACTTCTGGTTTCAGTTCTGGCATTACAATTAGTCAACTATTGCAAAGCTCTGGATCTTAAGTTATTCCAGAATTTCTGGTAGGTTACAAAACACATGAGGACATGTCAGATATAAAATTAATGTTTAGATTAGAACCTTGCTTTATTTAAACGTGCTCCATAGGCTATAACACAACCCTTCAGTCAATCAAGTATGTAACATTAATATGCTTCCACAAAACTTATAAACTTATATAACAACTCACAGCCATAGCTTCTAAACTTCTACAAGGCAGCAGCTTCAATCCCCAAAAGAGCACACTATCATGACTATATGACTACAGCAGGGGTCCCCAACCCCTGGGCTGTGGACCAGTACCTGTCTATGGCCTGTTAGGAACTGGGCCACACAGTAGGAAGTGAGTAGTAGGTGAGTGAGCTGATTCATCTATATTTGCAGCTGCTTCCCAGCATTACTAGCATCACTGCCTCAACTCCGCCTCAGACCATCAGGCATTAGATTCACAAAAGAGCGCCGGTGCCTGGTGCCAAAAAGGTTGGGGACCACTAGACTATGACATTAAGTCCCACATTAAATGCAAATTTAAGAAAAGCAAACTAGAGGGTATTAACAGATTATCAAAACTCAGTAAGATTGGGTTTTCTCATGTACCTGCTTCTCAACTCTTGTTTCTCAACATTGGGAAATTTTTTTAAATATCAATACCTGGGCTCCACCTCAAACTAATTAAATCATAATCTCTGTGGGGCATCTTATCTTTTTTTAAAGCTTCTCTGGCAATTCTAATGTCAGTCAGAGTTGAGAGTCACTGCTCTAACAATCTTATGTAACAAAAAATAAGTAAAAAAAAAAAAATAGAAGTGCAGGAACATTAACAAGTTAGAAATCAAAGGACTCACTCTTTGCTTTCTAACATCTTCTACCCTTTAAAAGGTCCAAAAATTATTAATATTAGAATCGACATCATATCTTTATCAATTAAGCAACTAAAATACATAAAATAAGGCCTGGGAAAGATCTTTATTCATCTGGTTTAACATTATTTTCCAAAGGGGGAAAGCTGCTGGATTTCAGGTGAAAATGCAGAAACAATTGCACAGCATGATAGCAAGAGGGCAAGGAAAATTTCCAGCTCTAGTTTCCTATGTTCTGGTCCAGAAAAGGGGGGAGGGGAAGGAAAGGTGTGTCAATGGGAACAAGCAGTAGTGCTCTAAAATAATTTCTTTTCACTCATAATTGCAAAGATAAAGCAACATAAAATATAGGGCAAAGGGAAGCTTGTCTTCAGGAATTTGTGTCCAAGTTTTTACTGGTATAACAATCTTTTTGACCCTAGAGCTACTAAAGGTGAATCATGAATCAAGTTCGGTGGTATATGTGCTACATACAGCCAAGGCTGGTTGTAGCAAATCGTTTCATTTCAAACCTGTGTTGATATATAAATTAGACATTATTTGGTAATGATTCATTTCGGGTCAATTTCGATTCAATCCAACATTATACCAGTTTATACACTTATTGTAGACTCTGTTTTAGTACTAAAAAATGACAATGACAGTTACCACTGAGGCAGTGAGCCGTGATATTCATTCCTCAGTTTTGCTTTAAAAAGATACCCCTAGGTTGTTAAGAGAAAATCTGATTTCATCCAAATGTATTATTTAACTGGAATTCTTCAGTCATCATCTACTGTTGGCTTGATTGTCACGCCTCTTCTTATTTGACCCCAACCAATTAAACTGCAAAATGAAAATAAAAGAAACTGTGAATTTTATGTCCATTTCATTATCATTACCAAACAGTCATTTGACATACTGGTTTTACTTGCCTATCTGCTTAATCAGAATTTGCTTCCAAAACCTGCTCCTCCATAAAGAAAGCTCACACTATCTTCTTAGATTCAGAAATGGGCTCTAGCCAGAATGAATGACAGAAAAAGC